ACTCAGGTGACCTAAAAAATGCTTACCCTTATCATGTGCTGATTATATACAATTCTTACATTTTATAACATCTAAAAAGTATATATTACTTTGATTTTTTGTCTCAGAATTTATGTAATTTTAAGCAATATTTACGTAATGTTTATAATACTGTTCACTGAAAATAAAAATTTTGTTTTATAGGTCTAAAAAAAATCCCTAGTTCTGGTTTCAGTATTGAAAGATCGATATTAGCTTTTAATTGTTTTATATGTTTATTATTTTTTTTTTGTTGTTGTATTTTTTTCTGAGGAAATGAAAATTATTTATTTGAATTTTAAAAAGATGCTTTAGAGTTAAAAGTTTTCTTTAATTTGGTTGTAAGGTCTTTGAAAAGATTTTGACTACAATTGCAATCAAGTTGAATCAACCAATCATTCCAATAAATGAACTAGAAAATAAAAATTGATTATACTTTACTTCAAACTCTTCAACTTTTCAACTTAAAGATAATCTGCAAGGCAAAATAATCATGATATAGTTAATACATTGTAGATCATAAATAATTTTTTATATATTATACGAGGTAGACAGTTGACATTTACGCATTGCATGGTATTAAAAACTGCTGTAAAATTATGGAAGAAATTGATCTTTGAACCTTTTCATAAGTTTAAATGCTATATAGAATGGGTATATATTACGTGTTGTATTGTATAAATATGTGTTGAATGAATATTATTCAGTCAATTGATTCGTAAATACAGACGCCTGTAAAACTTCCACACATCTCGTTCTAGGGGTCATCCTTTGACTTTCATAGGGTGCGGGGATCTTAAGGGAGAGGGGTTTTGAGTTATAAAATTTATTGTATAAGAAAGCAACTAAAAGTGAAATTGGGACTCCCTTACAAAGAAACTCACTCCAGTTGAATGCCGACTCTATATATGTACTAAGTCTTTCGTTAAAGATTTAATGGTACCAAGTTGGTACACCTAGTGAGACTTAGATAAAGGTTTCTTTAACAAAAAAAAAAAAAAAAAAAAAAGACGAGGTCCAGACCTGGAGAAATCTTGCAGATAGTTTTTATACCAATGACTCCCTAACATTTTCCAAGACATCAGACTTTTCACCAATATAAATAAATGTTTTATTTTCCTGCAAATTCCATGTCCAATTTTAATTAGATTTTTTACCAATACATTATTTCGAATTCTCTCAAGATTTTCTGCGATTTTCTATACAATCGGATTCTCTGTTCTCAATCATGTTTTTAGGAATGTTCACTAAATTTCAACAATTTGTCATCCTCTTCTATACATCCCTCCTAACCCTTACCGTCAACATACCGTCAACATATCCCCTTTTATTTATCTCATTTACTCCCCTTATTTCCATTTTGACCCTTTTTTGCCAATTTCTATCTCTTCCATTTCCATCTTTCACTCTCCATTCCTCATCTCCCTCTTATTACTATAACATCCCAAATCTGTCCTCCTCCCTCCCTGCCCAACTCACGTCTCTTACAGTGGTTGCCCTTCCCATTCCTCTCCATCTCTCCTCCCTTTCCACCTCCCCTTCCACAATCCCCCATCCACACCTATTTTATCCTTTTTTTCCTCTCCTGCATCCCATCCCACTCAATCATGGCCATTCTTCCCACCCATGTTGTTCTTATCCCATTTCTTTTCATCTCTCCTATGCCCTTTCAATCAGCCATCTTTTTCATTGCCTCCCTATCCCTCCACCTCCTATCGATCCCCCTGCTTCCTCTTGACAATCTCTTTTCCCCAGTCCTATCATGGAAGCATTATTTTGTATTTTATTTTTATTCTGTTAAAGAGGTTTTGTCCTTGAGATGATTGTGAAATCATATTTTAATTTATGTGCTTGTATATATTTACTATATGATTTGCAAATAATTAATATTGTACCTGCTTCGCCCGTTATGCAAATTATCCCATGTTTCCCACTATTGTTGATGGCCTGACATACCCTCCGAACTTGACAGTCATTCCTTAAATCAACTAAATAGGACTCAATTAGACTTTTATACGGGGATATTAACATTACACGTCATCAAAAGATGATCTGATATTTTTCACGGATTTACTCAGATTTAATCAAGCAGATTTTTATTATCATCCCCCTCAACAACAGGGCGTGACTCTTCAGTGGAACAAATTTGAATTACATGCACACAGACAAACCTATAGGCACAAATAAACAGATAAAATCTGTTCAGAAAAGCTCATTTAACTCAAATTATTAAAGAGACACTACAGCTCATTTTACGCAAAAATAATGAAACAAAAAATTTTACCGTAACTTTCTTTAATTTTCTCGCAAAGTTGAAGGTATGACCTTTCCGAAAATTATAAGTTTTAAAAGTAAATAAATCTGGTTTAACCGTAAAAAAATTGTTGTTTGTAATAGTTTTTGACGGTCCTATAAAAACAACAAAGGTACTTCTGGCTGATCTTCAATACCAGGTGTAGAGATCATTAATGAACTTACATGCTTCAAATTTTCAGCATCGATATCATTTCACCATTTAATAAATTAGTGATTGAATAAACACTCTCCATAAATGTGGAAATCGAGCTGTAATGCCTCTTTAAAGAAATAAGGGTTATATTTGATCGCTTTAATCATTTTCTGTAATATAGACTCCTCAAGCCCTTATAAAAGCCTGAAGTTTTAATCAGGATTCAATGTATTTTTCTTCATAGAGACTACCTGAACTGATGTCCTTTTCATTGTCATTATGCAGGGGATGCTACCTCTTCCATGGCGCCTGATCCAAACTCTGATGTTGTTTGTTCTCGGATTGTATTGCTTAAATTGATATTGAGCTTGAAAACTGTTTGTTATCTTCATATTTTATGCTAGAATTGGGCTATATTACAGTGTAGAAGTGAAAATCTACAGAAAAAAAGGAAGGACGGGCAGACAGACGAACTGACTAATGTAAAGAACTTCACTAAATAACAGATCAGCTAAGCAAACAATAAATTGATAGCTCTCTTCTACAGCTTTATTTGTAAATGCTCAAAAATAGAACATCAAACTACATAATTCATATGACTGTAAGATTATATTTACCCATAAAAGATCTGCACAAACAAAGACAACTTTAAATAATATGATTCTGATTCACTTGGTCGGAAATTAATTTAAAACAAGAGGCCTATGGGCCACATCGCTCACCTGAGCAATGTGGCTAGGAAGAAAGTAGAAATGTTTATTATTGGAAAGTTTAAACCAAAAGTGGTCCCAACCATTCTTAAAGTTGGTGATTTAAACAATCTTGAATCTACACAAACTAAGGATACTTGCATATTTCTTTAAATTCCTGTGGTTTTATTGCTCTTTAAACTTTAAGTTATATTATTGCTCACACCCCCCTCCCCCCATCCCAACTAAATATGAATCATGGCTTTGTTGTCCTTGAAATAATTCCCTTGGCCATTGTTGTGCCGCTCCACCTATCCCCAGGGGTCATGATTTGAACAAACCTGAATGTACTCTTCCTGAGGATGTTTCCTTATAAGTTTCATCTTTTCTGGACCAATGGTTCTTGAGGAAAGTTTTAAAAAATCCATTTATTTTCCACTTACTTTCACTTATCTCCCCTTGGCAAAGGGTGTTGCCCTTCAATTTAACAAATTTGAATCCCCTTCACCCAAGGACACTTTGTGGCAAGTTTGGTTGAAAATGGTCCCGTGGGTCTTGAAGAAGTCGAAAATGTGAAAAGTTAAGAGACAGACGGACAGGCAGACGCCAGACAAAATGAGATCAGAAAAGCTCACTTGAGCCTCCGGCTCAGGTGAGCTTATATTTGCATAACAATGTTACAATTTCAAAATGTCTGAGACAAAAATTCAAATTACTAGTATGATTTTGGGCATCATTTTATGTTTTTTCAATGCGAAACGTTGTTTGCTTGTGTACTTTAAAGTTGCTCATGCATATTTACCACCATACTTTAAAATATCACAATAATATTGAATGCTGTTTGTCAGTGCACTTAACAGTTTTTAAAACATTTCGACATTGATATAAAATATGGCTATATGCTTACAGATACATCTATCTTTGAAAGAATCTATCTTTGTCTACATACTGAAAACTCTATACATATTTATTATAAGTTCATTCAAAAATTACAATTTTTTTTCTCCTAAATCATAGTATTGAAATTGAAACATTTCCATTTTCGTAGTTATTTGTTGAATGTATGCTTTTATAATTCTAATTTTTATTTTGTTCATCCCATATATGCGTCTGAATTTGTCTCTGTCAGAAAAAATGTTACCGGTAAATACATTTCCACACACACTCTACACGTGTAATGTTCATCATCTGTACGAGTCTTCCCGTGTTTCATTAAGTTATATATAATCATTTGAAAGCAGTTCCGCACACTATACATTTTTAAAGTTGTGTGTGCCTGCAAGTGTCTCTAACCTGTCTTATCGCTTCTCACAAACAGCTCATCTATAGGGATTATCATCTGTATGTGTCCTCATGTGTTTCGTTAAATTTTAATAACCGAAATTGGAGAATTCCTTCCCATACACATTACTCTTAAAAGGCTTTTCACCAGTCTGTAAGCGACCTGATTGAAGGTTTTCCAACAAACATCGCATTAATCAATTTTTCGAACAGAATGAATTCTTTTGTGTTTCTGTAAGTTATCTGATCAGGTAAAAGTCCTTCCACGTACATCACATTTAAAAGGTTTTTAAAATGCATGTTCTTTCATGTGACTCTTTAAGCGTTTCTGTTTTCGTAAGTCTCCTAATCCATGTAATCAGATATATGCTTTTCCACAAAAATCACATTTATGAAGTTTATCACCCGTACATGTATGAATCCGTGTGTGCAATTTTCATTTTCCTAAAAAGATTTTCCACACGCTTCACATTTATGAGGTTTATCAACATGATAAACTGCATGTGTTTTTATATGATTTTGTATGTTACAAAATGTCGCATGCCTTTCCACACAGATCACCTTCACCTACTGAGAATCCTCATGTGTGTCTGTAAATTCCTTGATCTCTTACATGTTTTTCCACACACAGGACATGTATAAGGTTTGTAACCTGTATGTGTCCTAGTGTGTTTCTTTAAGCCACCTGACTGTTTCAATGCCTTTCCGCATACTTCACTTTAATAAGGTTTTTCACCCCTGTGTATCTTCATGTGTCTCTGTAAGTGACTTGATCGGTGGAATGCCTTTCCACAAACATCACATTTATAAGGTTTTTCACCTGTATGTGTCCTCATGTGTTCGTTTAATTCACTTGACTGGCTGAACGCCTTTCCACAAACATCACATTTAAACGGTTTTTCACCTGTGTGTGTCCTCATGTGTAACTGTAAGTTAAATTTTCGGTTGAATGCCTTTCCACATACATCACATTTATAAGCTTTACCACCTGTATGTATCATCATGTGTTGCTTTAAATAACGGCAGTCGGTAAAAGCCTTCCCACATACATCGCATTTAAAAGGTTTTTCACCAGTATGTGTCCTCATGTGTGTCTGCAAGTAATCAGATCGATTGAATGTTTTCCCACAAACATCACATATAAAGGCTGTTGTATCTCTATGTGTCGCCTTATGTCTCTGCAAATTACCTGAATGGTTAAATGTTTTTCCACACACATCACATACATAAGGTTTAACACCAGTATGTATTATTCTGTGTCTCTGAATATGTCTGGACTGCTGAAATGTCTTTCCACTCAGATCACCTTCAGTGCTGTGTACCCTCATGTGTGTCTGTAAGTTACTTGATCTCTTACATGTCTTTCCACACACAGGGCATGTATACGGTTTGTTAGCTGTGTGTGTCCTCATGTGTTTCTTTAAGTCTTTTGACTGTTTGAATGCAATTCCGCAAACATGACATTTATAAGGTATATCTTTTGTGTGTATCCTCATGTGTCTCTGTAAGTGACTTGAGCGGTTGAATGCCTTTTCACAAACATCACAAATATAAGGTTTTTCACCTGTATGTGTCCTTATGTGTTCCTTTAATTCACTTGACTGGCTGAAAGCTTTTCCACAAACATCACATTTAAATGGTTTTTCACCTGTGTGTATCCTCATGTGTGACTGTAAGTTAAATTTTCGGTTGAATGCCTTTCCACATACATCACATTTATAAGCTTTACCACCTGTATGTATCATCATGTGTTGCTTTAAATAACGGCAGTTGGTAAAAGCTTTCCCACATACATCGCATTCAAAAGGTTTTTCACCAGTATGTGTCCTCATGTGTGTCTGCAAGTAATCCGATCGATAGAATGTTTTCCCACAAACATCACATATAAAGGCTGTCTGACCTGTATGTGTCCACTTGTGTCTCTGCAAATTACCTGAATGGGTAAATGTTTTTCCACACACATCACATTCATAAGGTTTAACACCAGTATGTATTATTCTGTGTCTCGGAACATTTCTGGACTGCTGAAATGTCTTCCCACTCAGGTCACCTTCACTGATATGTACCCTCATGTGTGTCTGTAAGTTACTTGATCTCTTACATGTCTTTCCACACACATGGCATGTATTTAAGTCTTTTGACTGTTTGAATGCAATTCCGCAAACATGACATTTATAAGGTATATCTTTTGTGTGTACGGTTTGTCACCTTTATGTATCCTCGTGTGTTTCTTTAAATAACTTGAATGGTTGAAAGCCTTTCCACAAACATCACATTTATAAGGTTTATCACCTGTATGTGTCGTCACGTGTCTCTGTAAGGTACCTGACTGTTTGAATGCCTTCCCACATACATAACATTTATAAGGTTGATCACCTGTATGTGTCCTTATGTGTCTCTGTAAGGTACCTGACTGTTTGAAAGCCTTTCCACAAACATCACATTTATATGGTTTATCACCTGTGTGAGTCCTCGTATGTGTCTGTAGGCTAAATTTTCGGTTGAATGTCTTCCCACATACATCACATTTATAAGGTTTACCACCTGTATGTATCAACATGTGTTGCTTTAAATAACGGCAGTCGATAAAAGTCTTTCCACATACATCACACTTACAAGGTTTTTCACCAGTATGTGTCCTTATGTGTGCCTGCAAGTAATCCGATCGATAGAATACTTTCCCACAAATATCACAAATTAAAGTTGTCTGACCTGTATGTGTTCCCTTGTGTCTCCGCAAATTACGTGAATGGTTAAATGTTTTTCCACACACATCACATTCCTCAGGTTTTTCAACAGTATATGTATGTGCTACTTTGTGTCTCTGCTGGAATAGCTCTCCACAAACTTTACTTTGATGAAGGTTATCACCTTTCTTTGTTCTAATGAGCGTCTTTACTGAACCCAAGTCACTGGATGCTTTTCCACACCTATCAGATTGACACAATTTATATGCATCTTCCGTTTCTCTATGTACCCTTATGTTTCCTTGTGAGTTTTTTGATTGTGTTGGAGTCTTACCACAAGCATTACTTTTACAAGGTTTGTATCCAGCCTTTTTCTTTATTTGTATATTAAACCCTCCTGATGAGTTGAATGCCTTCCCACATTCAGCAGGGTTATTATCCATGCGCCTCTTTGATTGTTTCAAACAGCCGTCAGAATGTGTTTTACAATCTTGTGTCATTTGGTGTTCATTTTCAACTAATGGTTTTTCACCCTTATCACATGCATGAGGTTTTTCCCCCGTGTCCTTTTTCTTATGTCTCAGTTCATACCTTGACTTAAGATTTACATTTCCATGCATGTCATTCTTATCTGGTGCTTCTCCAAGAAATCTTCTGTTTGGTTTCCCTAGGGTGCCCGACTTTATGCATGTGTCATTATACTTGAAACTTCTGACACCTCTAAGTATCATTGGGTGTTTTGAAACATCAGAAGTTTGAGCAGGAAATTGATCAGAAACACGGTTTTTATGTGGGTTTTCACCTGTGTGTCTGATCATTTGTCGATTTGAAGCTGATTTTTCTTTCAACAATTTCTGACATACATCACTTTTAGAAGATTTTTCACCGGTATGTGCCTTCATATGTCTCTGTAGGTGGCCTATTACAAACCTACCACACACACCACACTCATAAGTTTTATAATTACGTGTGTTTTCATCTGTATGTGTTCTTAAATGTACCTTTAAATCTGATTTTTCTCTGAACCTTCTCTGACAAATATCACATTTAAAATGTTTCTCGTCGGTATGAATCTTCATGTGTCTCTGTAATTTTCCTGATAAAGACATTCCACACATATCACATTTATAAGGTTTATCACAGTCATGCATATCTATATGTTTGCACAAGTCTCCTGTATTGTGAAATACATTCCCACAAACATTACACTTATTCTGTTTATCGTCTGTATGTGTCTCAAGGTGTCTATTCAAACCTCCTTTTTCACAAAAAGCTTTCTGGCACATTCCACATTTATAAGGTTTAAAATCTATATGTACTCTCCTCATGTGTATCTGTAAGGTATCGGATTTGTTAAAATTTTTCCTGCAGATATTACATTGATGGGTATCGATGTGTCTTTCTAATTCCATTGATTGACTGTTAAAAGGAATGCTTTTTTCAGCATCATTCCGAATAATGGTTGAAAAAGTTGTCTTTTCCCCCTGTAAAGTTGATCAAAAGGCAATATCATAGTATTTGTTAAACAAGAGGTCATATGGCCAAGAATTGATTTTCTGAATATAATAAAATCCTTTGTTTCCATTTTAAGGTTCTTCGTATCTAAATATTATATTAGGTAAATCAATTAAGTTCAAAAAGTAGGTTATTCTAACTGTACACAATTTGAAATACCTTGATGCAAAAGTTTTAAGACCCTTAAGGCTTTATTTTATTTCAATTACTGTAGAAGTATTTTTTCCTTGTGGTATTAATTTACGCTATATATGAGGTCACATATTTTCCACGGTTTGTCCCATCCAACTTTATATTAATATAAGGCATATATAGAAAGTCTTAAGATATCTGCGTAATTTTCTACCAGTGGATTGAACAGAAATAGAGATTCCACGGAATTATGACCCCGAGGAAAAAAGTACGTCTTCAGTATATACTCAGGCATAGCTATAAAATTCCTAAGGTAGGACACCGTAACCTACTCTTTGGATGACACAATGCAAGACTTACTAGATGGGTCAACTAATAAAATCATACAATGTTTAGCATTCTTTTATCCTGCAATGTAAATATTGTTGAAAGTGTGCAATTCCATAAGTAGGTCACATTGACCCAGTTAATGGTTGAAAGATTCCAAGTTCCGAAGATGCTAAACTAAATACCTTAATGATTCTAAGCCTCTTATTACCAAATATCCAGTTTTGGATGCGTGTTGGAAATTTTGCGAAAAAGGGGTAGATAAGTACAGTTTATATTTTATGTAAGTTATTTTTTACGATTGAAGATTTTTTTGCTTAAAATTGTAATATGTTTTTATGTCATATCAGGGCAGAAATAATTTCTGTGTGTTTTATATTTTGCTATTTAAAAATGATCACAAAAAAAAAAAAGCGAAAATAGATTAGTTCGAAAAAAACCCGAATATACGGTATATGAAATATTTAAAGCCGCTTAACCCGAATTAGGCACATATTATCTTACACAATAAAAGTACGTCATTACATAGATAATATATAAAAATGAATTATAAGATTGATTTAATAGTTTTTTACAACAATCCTTACATGGAAAACGCAGATCAAAAACTTCATTGACAAACAGTAGTTCCTGACGGAAGTTAAGATCTGTTGTGAAGTCAATTTTGAAAAAAATAAGTTTATCGGATAATGAAGATAATTCAAACCCGAGTATTTTTTTCTCTATTTTTAGAAGCCTTAGTCATAATACATTTTTTCAAAATTAAGAAATTAATTGTAATGAATATAATCCATTGTAATTTTTATAGTAATATGCATGTTTAAAGAATACAGGAAAATCAGATATTTTAAAGTATTTTTTTAAAGGAGATAAGATATTGTCCGTGTACAGGTAATATATGTACTTTGTTGTGAAAAAAAAATGCTCGGGTGTGTTCTTCGTGAGATAAACATGTAAGCGATATATTTAATCTTTAGCGATTAGAATCGGACCAAGCGGCTTTAAATACATGTAATCATGTATGCACTGTCACATAGTGAATAAATGATTTTTCTAATAAATGTCATATACGTTTATTTTTAATGTCTAAATCTACTAATAATCATTTCATTATCTTCATCTTATTTGCATCTTTACGCCATGGTGAATTACAGTCCTCTGTAATTTACTGTGTTTATTCATAAAGTATCTCATTCATATTCACAATGTTGAATGCTTATTGCAATTGATTAATTTAAGAGTGGGAAAAGAAAAAAGTTTCTGTGTCACAATGGGTGATTTCGCGCGATATCAACAATGATCAACATAGGATTATTTTTTGTGTGACCTAACAAAAATTATTTATTTAAATTTTGATATCTTTTAAAAGAAAAGGACTTTGGGGATATAATTTGACAGAAGTTGAAACAATTTATGGACAATTATTTTTCAAGAAGAAAATCGAATATGTATTTTTAGCGATTAGAATCGGACCAAGCGGCTTTAAATACATGTAATCATGTATGCACTGTCACATAGTGAATAAATGATTTTTCTAATAAATGTCATATACGTTTATTTTTAATGTCTAAATCTACTAATAATCATTTCATTATCTTCATCTTATTTGCATCTTTACGCCATGGTGAATTACAGTCCTCTGTAATTTACTGTGTTTATTCATAAAGTATCTCATTCAGTGCTTTGAATAAATCAAATATCTTATCAATTAGATATCTACTTAAAGATAATAACAGCAGAAAGGTTTGTGTTCTAAAATAATTAAATGTGTGAATGTATAGGTACATGTTGTATAATAGTGTATATACTTACTTTCATAACTGTTACCATAAAATACACTTTTGATTAAGGTAAAACCTTTTTAGGGTCAGAAGGCATGTTATGTAGATTTGTGAAACGAAGATCATTTTGTGTGCACGTGCTTGAGAGTGTGCGCAGGTGCAACACGTGAAATGACCAAAATAATAGATATAGCCGTACCTTTTAAATTTTTGGATGAAATGCATTGAAACTCATAATATAAGGGTATATTAGTAATATAGACAAGATGACATTGCCACAATAGCAAGATCTCACACGCACGCACATGTGCTTCGCATTGATTGGCTGGACTAAAGTCTCTCTATCTTTCTTGTTTTTTGACAAAATCCTTTGAAATGTTATAAAAGTATTGTCACATTAAAGCACATGAGCCTGTGCTGTAATCTGATTGGCTGAAACTTGAAATGTCTAAAGCTTTCTTGTTTCTCAATACAACAAGATGAAATTTAGAATATGTCTTGAATAGGTATATTTAATGCATACAATATGCTACTATCAAATTTGAATACAAGGACATGCATGCATGCACTTGCAATATTTAATAATTTACATTTTTATGTTATTTTTTTATTGTAAATCTGGAAATTTCTGCTGTAGATAAATTTTTGGCAAAGAATGAGTGCACTTAAGCAATGAGAGTAGGATCCCGATGTTTTGCGCAAAATAAAATTCCAAAATCCATTAAATTTATGCTTTATAGGTATTAAACAATGTCTTAAGAGCAGGTTTTGGTATATTATGTTACATGAAATGCCGAACGACACTAGCTTTTGAGACGGGGGTCTAACAGTTTTGTCTCATTTCTATTGTTATTCATATGCATACCAGTTTTCAATGACTTTGTTTACATCGAGTGGCAACTTGGCCATTTTTCTTATTTGCACAGAACTTAAACTTATACGTAGCCAAAGGACAATGTTGGCCAAGTTGCGGCTCATATCTAATTTTCAAAAAAATGTCCCCAAACTAGGGTCGAGATAGCTACTAAATTAACCGGTCACTCAGCAACAACGTTTGATATTATAATCACCTTTCTCACGTGACCTTCTGCTGTTTGATATGCTAACTCTTTCATTGAAAATTTCATTGTGTTTAAGTCTCTGTTGTGACATTATCTATCGTACTTCCAACTTCAAACTATGGGAGATTTTTGCGCAAATTTTAATAGGGTTTGAAGATAATATGTCTCTTATTTATCTTTATGCTTTTCATTAGGGGTATTTTGAAAGAATTCTGGTTTTGACAGTGTCATTAGTAAGTACATGTATAGGCTTATGTCGCCTCTGTATTATGGTCTGTACAGCGAGACATTTACCCCATCCCTTAACATTAAAATCATTTAATAATTGTGCACCATGAAATCAACATGATCTCTCTCTCTTCTCCATTTCAATTCGCAATGCGAAAAAATCATATGTGCTAATGTTTACATTCCACAACCATGCGGTTTAAATGTCTCCGCCTATTTGTGGATACCTTAGATTCGAAAGTGGTCCCGTTCAAATTTCCGGAATTTAAGGCTTTTACATGTTCTTTTCAATTACATTTTCTGTAATTATAGAAATATGTATGACAAAAAATTCTAGAAATAAATATCAAAAGCATATGCTTGCACATTAATCATAGATTAATTTAGCAATATATTGTAATGTTAAGCTTAAAATGGGTAGCCAAAAAGGTTCCAAATGACATACTTAAGTGCACTCATTCTTTGCGAGTTCATTGCATTTGCAAAAATATTTTTCTTAAAAATAATTCAACAATGAGAAAATATAAACAAAGTAGTGGTCATTCGCAAAATTTTGAAACGTAAAAATTTATCAACAGTATTTTGACCCAGATTAACAAAATAAAATTGCCGCAAAAATTTCCAGATTTACAGTATAGATTCTCTGCATATCAAGACATGGTAATCATATGGTAAGAACATGCCATGATCATCTTTCATATGCATGCACAATATTTGCACATGCACGCATGCAATATTGAATATGACAAAATTATAGACTGAGCATATGAAAAAGTCTTCAGAAAAAAGCACTAAAGGGGTTTTGGGGAGCGTTTGGGGAATATCTGTAACCATCCCCATTACAATTACTGCAGATCACTAAATTTTCGCGACACCTTTTTTTCACGAGATCGTCATTCATTTGACTCCTGATAAGTGAGACAAAATTTTCACGAATTGTGGTTATTGCTCTATATAATCTTAAGGAACATTATACGCGAGAAATAAATTTTCGCGAGTAAACTGTTTCGCTTAATTACGTGAAAATAAAGTTCTCGTGAATAAAAAGTGATTTACAGTAAGTATTAGTTTATGTTACTTTAGATTGTCTTCTTAACCAGATTTTTTAAATGATATCTGAAGGCTAAGGAAAAGTATCAAAATCATTTATATAGATGGATCATGTGATTACTATAGAGCTTCAGCCCTTCAGAGTCTTTAGAATTAATATACCTCCAATATTTAATATAGAGCTTCAACCCTTCAGAATCTTTAGAATCAAGTTACCTCCAACATTTCCAATAGATAGTTTTCGATGGGCCTAAATTTAGCAAAAGTTACCTCCTGTTAACCGCCATTCTGGAGGTTGGCTCAGTGAGTTTTCCTCTTTGTCTTACCAAGTTTAAGAAAATATAGTAGAACTATTCAGTGGAAAATCTTTATCAAGTAATTTTTTTAAATAAAGGAGACTTTTAAAAATTTATATACTTCAGAAAAATATTGATTCCTAATTCAAAATCGCAAATATAAAAATTCAAAATTGGTTGAACAATGAAAGAATATAAGCATTTGGACCTCCAGTATGGCGGCCAATGGGAAGTAACTCTCTTTAAATTTAAGTCAATCGAAAACTATCTATAGAGCTTCAACCCTTCAGAATCTTTTGAATTAATTTACCTCCAATATTTCCTTCTGTTGATTTTCTTCCATAGCGTCAGAATCCCCAAATGCCTGCTTCTTTCCTATAATTAAAACATGTAGTCTGCATTATAAATTCTGGGAGTTCAACAACATAACCATAAACAGAATATGGTAAAACCCTATTATTTCCATATTAAGGTTCTTAGTATCTAAATATTATATATATAAGAAAAAGTATCAAAATCATTTATATAGATGGATTTGAGATACTGATATTGACCTGTAGATGGATCATGTGATTACTATAGAGCTTCAGCCCTTCAGAGTCTCTAGAATTAATTACCTCCAATATTTCCAATAGAGCTTCAACCCTTCAGAGTCTCTAGAATTAATTTACCTCCAATATTTCCAATAGAGCTTCAACCCTTCATCAACCCATAATCATTATGCTTTGTTGTTCAACTTGTTCTTGAGAAGAAGATTTTTCCTACATATTCCTATTTAAAACTGTGATACCCCATTGTGGCCCCGCCCTACCCCTAGGGATCATGATTTGAAGAAAATTGAATCAACACTACCTAGGGATGATTCCATAAAATTTGACTAATCATGGCTGTGTTGTTGTTCAGAAAAAGATTTTTAAAGAGTTTTTCTATATATTCCTGCATAAAACTTTGTCTATTGTAGCCCTGTCCTACCCCCAAGGGTCATGATTTGAACAAATTTAAATCTACACTATCTGATGCTTCCATATTAGTTTCATACTTCATACTTCCTGACCCAATGGTTCTTGAGAAGAAGATTTGTAAGCATGCCACAAAATTTTCAGTTTATCTTACAGAGCTCCAAATAATTGTTTACCCCAAAGTGTATTTACTTCCTGATTTTCACATCAATGCAGATTTTGATTTTCAGTAAAATGATTGAAGAGTACATGTATATTTTTGATTTTGAGCTTGTTACATAAGATATAAGTGTTTTTGAAGAGGGAGAAAACCAACAAAGGTCAGTTCATGCATTAATTTAAATAAATTTTGAAAATACCAACAAGGCTTTTTTGCTAAAATTGGGAAGCATTCCTTTTGACAAGATTATACAATAGGTCAAGGTATCACAGAATCAGAGACACAGAAAACTTTTCCTTCAATTAAGAAATCATATCAAGAGTAAACTGAGAGAAAAGAATCTTCGTTAATCATGCTAATACGGCAAGTTGAGAGAAATAAAAAATTAGCTATGAACCTAGAATAAAAAAGTTATGCCTACTGCATAGTCTTTCTATTTATAGAAATTGATTTTCATCTAAATATCTGATTCTTCCTCCCGAAATGGAGATCGTTTTCGCCATTACTCGAATATTCCTGGTCACTAAAAGACTTTTAAATCTGTAGAGTGGAGCCTCATTTATCCAGACGCTTTGTTTCCCAGCCAATTTGTCTGGATATGTGAAGCATTCTGATACCTGAATTACCAATTAAACAAAACAAATTAACGTTTAAAAATTCCATTCCAGTGAAAAGTCATCCGGATACTGTAGCATCTGGATATCTGGCATCCGGATATCTGAAGGTCCACTGTACTTCATTTTGAGAAAAATCAAACACTGATTTAACGTCAATTCATATCATTGAGTAAGTTGTACCTGTATTCTTTAACCTGTTGTACGCAATACTTTCGTGGTGTTATGCTTATCTACGACTACTAATGCATAATTGTACGTCCTATTTTAATTTTCAATGCATATTTTGTAAAATCAATAGCGTATTTCTGCAAATACGCACCTTATCTAGAGCTCTGATCTTAGTTATCTCCCCATGAAAGAGAACAGGACCCTTCATTTGAACAAACTTGAACCCCCTTTACCCAAAGATGCTTTGTGGCAAGTTTGGTTGAAAATGACCCAATGGTTCTAGAGAAGAAGGTGAAAAAGTGAAAAGTTTACAGACAGACAGACAGAAAGCTAGACAGACAGAAGGACACAGGACAAAATGTGATCAGAAAAGCTCACTTGAGCTTTCAGCTCAGGTGGGCTAAAAAGCTCAGTGATCCAGAATTAATCATCATGATATGTAATTTGTTATTGTATAATGTGGAAATGAGGAAATCTATTTAAATACTCTGACTGAGGTAATTATTTGCCTGCATGAGGGCAGATACTACAATGGTTTGATTAATGAAGCTTTATCAATTTCAGATTAGAAAATTTTTTATCATTTTCCTTTCTTCATGTTCTTGCATTTTTTAAATATTTGATTGTCATTTCATTATTCGACTGTCAGTCCATTCAACTGATAGTCGAATAGTCGACTACCTGTGACCAATCTACTTAAAATTAGATGTTAGATCCACTTGCATACTTGCTACACTAACATCTAACAACATCCCATAGAGGGTCACATTAGAGGTCAAATTCGGAACAACTCTAGACTTATTCACTTCAACAATAAACAATGATTTTGCAGGCGACAATTTGATTGGTTAATAGAGTTTGAACTCTTACTTGACCCTCTACGGGATGTTGTTATTATTAGTGTAGCAAGTATATGAGCAGATCTAACATCTAATTTTATTTTGATTGCTTTGTTGACATCCCTAATATTTACCTGTAGATTCTTCTTGTTTATCTGGTTCTTGATCTTGTGAATGAGATAGAGGTATTTTCTTCTTCTCTGACATGATTTCTGAAACCACCTGTAACAGAGAAGATGAATTTAAATAAATATTGAGAGAGATAATCAGATTCCTCATCTTAGTTAAATAGATGAGAGACAACATTTGACTTCATGTTTAAATTTTCAAATTTGCAAAACCCTGTACCATTATATGGGGCTTTATTTTTGTTGGCCTTGCCATATGATAGAAGACAGTAGACAACTTTCATATTTACAAAAGTTATTCCCCTTTGGGGGATCAATCGATGGTCAACCAGCGTTCCCTCTATGACCTTACCAATTTTATGGGCCAGTACAGTGTATCTCAGAAATAAATTCTGTATGAATATGTTCAGTACGTTTTTCATGTTCCTCCATATTCTTGCAATACAGATGCAGATAGAAATTGTCTGATCACGTTTGAAGATTAAAAATGTTAGCGTTAAGTTATATTAATAATATGAGCGTTACGCCGACAATGGGAGTTAACTCTTAAAAATGGGAAATTTGTCTATACCTTTCTTGCCTATTGCCTGAGAGCTACCACACAAGTCAAACTGCAACAAACACGAAGTATTCCAGTTTTCAAACATAGGTAATCAGAGATTACAGAGCTCACCTCAACGTGTGTTGTCTTTAAGTAAGGCATATTAAGTCACACAATTAACCAACAAAAAGTGTACATCCAAAAATGCAAAATTTATGCAATTTTGATACTTTGGAATAGACCTATATAAAAACTAAAAACTAGTTCTTCATCATGAAAATGTAATTAAAATCCAGCATCTGAAGCAAGATTGAGAGTTTTCATCCCTTGATGCATCATTTAAGCAACTGGTTTATATAAGGCTTATAGTTTCTTGGTGATAGACTTGCACCCATAACTTTTACGAGGTCTATAATCTTGAAAATGTATGTCAAATTCAGCATCTGAAGCAAGTCCATTTGTGTGCATCCTAAGATGTATCATCCATGTAAGTTTGGTCAACATAGGGCTTAAAGTTACTTGCAAATGAAACCTGTATAAAAAATTAACCTTTCCACTAATCCAGAAAATGTAGGTCATATTCAGCATCCGAAGCCAGCCTAGTTGAATGCACCCTTAGATGTACCATCCATGCAAGTTTGGTCATTATAGGGCTCAAAGTTACTTGGAAATGAATCCTGCACCATAAACTTAAACCTGTTTACTCGTCCAGAAAATGTAGGTCAGATTCAGCATCCGAAGCAAGTCTGGTAGTATGCATCCTAAGATGTACCATCCATGCAATTTAGTCATTATACGGTTCAAAGTACACTGTACCTTGAAAATGAAACCTTCACCAAAAACTTTAACCTATTCACTCAACCGGAAAATGTAGGTCAGATTCAGCATCCGAAGCAAGGCTGGTAGTATGCATCCTAAGAAGTATCATCCATGCAAGTTTGGTCATTATATGTCTCATAGTAACTTGGAAATGAAACCTGCACCAAAAACTTTAACCTGTTCACTCAACCGGAAAATGTAGATCAGATTCAGCATCCGAAGCAAGTCTAGTAGAATACATCCTAAGATGTACCATCCATGCAAGTTTGGTCATTATAGGGCTCAAAGTATCTTCAAAATGAAACCTTCACCAAAACCTTTTAACCTGTTCACTCAACCCGATGTAGGTCAGATTCATCATCCGAAGCAAGGCTGGTAGTATGCATCCTAAGATGTATCATCCATGTAAGTTTGGTCATTATATGTCTCATAGTAACTTGGAAATGAAACCTTCACCAAAAACTTTAACCTGTTCACTCTACCGGAAAATGTAGGTCAGATTCAGCATCCGAAGCAAGTCTAGTAGAATACATCCTAAGATGTACCATCCATGCAAGTTTGGTCATTATAGGGCTCAAAGTATCTTCGAAATGAAACCTTCACCAAAAACTTTAACCTGTTCACTCAACCGGAAAATGTAGGTCAGATTCAGCATCCGAAGCAAGGCTGGTAGTATGCATCCTAAGATGTATCATCCATGTAAGTTTGGTCAACATAGGGCTCATAGTAACTTGGAAATGAAACCTGCACCAAAAACTTTAACCTGTTCACTCAACCGGTAAATGTAGGTCAGATTCAGCATCCGAAGCAAGTCTAGTAGAATACATCCTAAGATGTATCATCCATGCAAGTTTGGTCATCATAGGGCTCAAAGTATCTTCGAAATGAAACCTTCACCAAAAACTTTATCCTGTTCACTCAACCGGAAAATGTAGGTCAGATTCAGCATCCGAAGCAAGGCTGGTAGTATGCATCCTAAGATGTATCATCCATGTAAGTTTGGTCAACATAGGGCTTATAGTTACTCGGAAATGAGACCTACACCAAAAACTGCACCAAAAATGTTAACCTGCACCAAAAACATTAACCTGGTCATTCCTTTGCTGAAATTTCAGCATCTGAAACTTTGACTGGTACAATGAAACTCACTAGCAACATCTTCCATGCATGTCTAATCAATATAGGACATAGAAGTACTTAAAAAGAAAACTGCTCCAAAAAACTTAACCTTAACCCGGGACGCCGACGCCGACGCCGACACCGACGCCGACACCGACGCCGACGCCGAGGGTATCACATAAGCTCCCCCCAACTTCGTTGAGGTGAGCTAAAAACGCAACTTTGTTTCTAGTGTAATGAATTTTGATTTCATATGCATTACTGATTAAGTGACCAGTGCGTGACTTCCAGATTTTTAACACGAAAAAAAAATTTGAGTTGGTGGAATATGATAACCATAGACATATTTTTCTTAAGCCTATAGGAAAATTTACTTCAGCAAAATATGTACTTTTTACATAAAAAGTGGGATCTTGCCTCGCTGGCCATCCAATATGGGTGTGTTTCTGTGTAAATAGTTTACCAATGATTTCAATGAAATACATGCATGTTATTTCTAAGCAACTGAAGATGGATCAGCTTAATTTCTATGATTTGATGATTCTTTACCTACAGTATTTTACACATGAGCCAGACATGAAAAAAACTAATAGAGACTAAGAGAGGCAGACAAAATAATTAATGCACGAGAGCCCTGTCCAATGCCGGATTTAATGGGGGGCGCACCTGCCCCCCCCCCCCCTCCAAAATTGTCAAAAGAAAATGTAAATATGACTGGGCCCCAACCAGGGCTTTGTCCTGGACCCACTGGGGGCCTCAAGACAGCCCCCAGATCCCTTGCCTCCCTTGCCCCCTCCAACTTCAATTCCTGGATCTGCGCCAAGTGTCTTCATAAAATTGGCATAAATATTAAAAAACACAAGATTCAAGAATAAATGAAAAATGTGTTACTAAAGACTTCAGCTATGATAATATTTAAATTTTGGCCAAAAAAAAAATAAACAAACAAATAAATTTAAGATTTTGTGACTGGTTTTATACACTAAATAAAATAAAAAAAAATTAAAGTACAACATTATTTTGAGTTGAAACTAATAAATCAAGAGTCAAAGGATGAAAGAATTATAAAATAACTAAATCAATGTTAAATACAATGTATAAAACCAGTCACAGAATCTTAAAAAGTATGCAACGCGCGCGAGCATTTTTTTTTACCATGCTGTCACGGGGATGTAGGAACGACAACTCTTAGATAAACAATTCGTAAAGAACATTAGGCGACTGTTTCTAAATTTTGTCAGTACAAAACCTTTTTCTTTTCAAATAAAACTTTCTTATTACAAGCTCTGGGCAAGGTTCAATGAGATTATGATTCAATATTGGAGAAAATACCTACTTGTGAGCTTGAACATGAAGATAGATTGTCTAATTTGGCGCTCTTGTTGGTGTTCTTTATCGGAATTACGAACCCGATTTCTTTATTTGACAAGTGTAATGCAGAAAGACAAAGTGCACATGGGTGAACTAGATATCAATATTACTTTTCAGGTTTTTTTTTTTTTTTTTTTTTGAAGATCTAGAAAAATTCTTACACTTACATATGTAGCTCCCCCCTCCTTCAACTTGTTTCTGACGCCAATGTGCAGTACGATTTCCCCAGTTCTAATTCAGTGGTTATTGTGTTGAATAAAATAAATTAATTATAGAGATTGGTATAACTGGTAAAATTAATTTCTGAATATGCTACAGATATTTAATCAGAATATCAGAGTTTTATTACACAAATTGTTATACCTTTGAAAATTTGTTCCTATACAGATCTATACGAAAAAGGCTAATTTAACATTTCTAATTTTTGCTGAGCGGGCACGAAAAAAATAGATGTTGGACCACACAGTGAGATGTTGGACCGCTCGATAAGATGTTGGATCATTTTAGTCACACAATGGGCGGAGCTTAATCTCATTTTCATTCGTTGGTGTTCAAAATTGACGGACCTGAGGTTACATCACGGAAGACGGTACAAAATAAATATATGCCAAAAAATAAAAATAAAATAAAAGGTTTTACAAAAATTTATTGAATATGTTCTCGGACAAAAAGCGTTTTGTCGACCCTCGAACCAGACAAAACGCATGTTGCTGGAGAACACATTAAACTTTTAATTTAACAAATATATAATAAATGCACGTGCGTCGGAAGCAAATTGAAAAGGGGTGGGGGCAATGGGGGGTGGGTGTTTTGCTAAACCAACAAAAAATATAAATCCCAATTTTCAAAGCATAGAATGTATATAAAGGTCTTTTTTTTTTGTAAGCCCCCCCCCCCCCCCCAGTTCCATGTTATCATAATCAGGTAAATTAAACATTAACAATGAAACTTAAACTTATGACTTTTGAATGTTGTCGCATAAAAGAATAATTGTAACTTTGGAAAATGATTTTTCGAAAGTGCAAGATGAGCGCTATTGTTCTTATATACGTGTCATTTTTTATTGTATTACAGGTTTAAAATGATAAAATTAGGTCATCCTAATTTAAGAAAAGTGCTTGTTTGAAATTGCCGTCTGGAGGGATTCAGCCACAGGAGGGATGATCGAGGAATTTTGTTTTTCAAAATTGAAGATAAAAAATTGCAATAAAAGAGAGAGGGAGATTAGATTTATTACTGCCCGGCCAAGAGCTTTAATTAATTTGTCTTTAAAATGGTACATGTGATTTTCTAAGATAATGTATTCATGTACAATGAATATCGTTGGTGTCCTGGCCCCAGGATTACAGGCACGTAGTATCCGGGGGGGGGGGGGGGCCTTGAAAAAAGTTGTCCACTACCCCCCCCCCCCCCCCCCCCCCCCAACAAAATAGGTTTTCGAGTTTGGGCAATTGACAAAATCTTTTTTTTTTTTTTTTTTTTTGCTTGTCAACTTTTTTTTAGGTAAAGTAAAAAAAAAAATTTCTCAGGTTGGCCCCCCACTTTCAAAAACGATGCTACGTGCCTGGATTAACAAATTGAAGAAAGAGGGACTTTTATAGTGTCCCGATAGGGCCATTGCAAAAGTGTATTAGCGCGTTAGAAACAACACGCAAGTGCGTTAACACTGGTTAATGACAAGGCGCAAGCGCGATAATGACAACACACGCAAGCTCGTTAATGACAATGCCCTAGCGCGTTAATGATGAGTTGTGTGTTAGCGCGAAGTCGTGTTGAAAATTCACGCGCTAGCGCGGTGTCAACAAGAGGCCCACGGGCCTTATAGGTCACCTGAGTATCATGTAACAACTTTCAAACAATAAAAATTGGTTCATGTTTTAAATCAAAGGCCATGAAATTCCCAATTTTGAAAGAGGCAGCATTGCTTATCATAATTATAAACTTAGCATGCTTACTCTATTTACTTAATACACAGAAGGAGATCAGAGTAACAAAGAGAAAATACACTTCCACTTTATAACCAGTTGTGCACCTCAGCCAAATGGAACCACTGACCCAGGGCACATATTTCAAAATTTTGCAAATTTCATCATAAAATGATTGATTAAAACTATAGAGCAGATTTCAAAGCATTAATTTATTTTCAGACTATGTACCCCACCCAGGGGGCATAAAAAATAACCATTTTGCTAGATGCACCTTTCTCCATCATAAATATATATATACTTGGCACAAAACCCAGGATCAAAGGAAAAGATTTTCAAAGAGTTTATGCATTTTCACTATATAATCAATAGAGCCCCGCCCTAACACCAGAGCCCCTGACCCTGAGGCCATAAAATTCACAATTTTGGAAGTGGCACTCTTGCTCATCATAACTACGAACTTAGTTAGTCTATTTATTACCCAGGAGCAGAGAAGAAGATTTTCAAAGAATTCATGTATTTCCACTATATAATCAATAGAACCCGCCCTAACACCAGAACCCCAGACCATGGGGCCATGAATTTCACAATTTTGGTAGAGGCACTCTTGCTCATTATAACTATGATCTTAGTTGGTTTATTTAATACCCAGGAGCAGAGAAGAAGATTTTCAAAGAAATAATGCATTTTCACTATCTACTTATTTAGCCCCGCCCTAGCACTAGAACCCCTAACCCAAGGGCCATGAATTTCACAATTTTGGTAGAGGACTTAATGCTGATTACAATCATGCAAACAGTTTAACTGCTTGATGTCCAGGAGTAAAGAAGAAGATTTTTAAAGATTGCATTAATTTTAGTGGTTTTGGCCCCACCCCCAGGCCCCAGGAGGGCAGGGATCATGAAATTCACAATTTATGTTTCCATTTACCCACAGATGCTTTATGCCAAATTTGGTTGAAATTGGTTCAGTGGTTGCAGAGAAGAAGCTGAAAATGTTGTTTACTCAGGTGACCTAAAAATAAAAACTAGAAATACGTCTATAGGACATGAATGCTTCGACGAGGCTAAATTAGTAAAGCAACATGAAAATTTGTATGTGTATAAAAATTGATCAAAATATCTTGAATAGTGATGCACTTAAATTGCTTACAAGGTCAAGGAAATGCCAAGGTCAAAAACTGTTGATGCAGTTGAAAAGCTCTGATGAGTATGTATCACCATATAAAGTTGAAAAAATATTATGAATGGTTTCTTCAAAACTGACTTAAACACAAATGGATAAAAGTGAGGTCAAGGTCAAATGAAAGGTCAAGGTAAAAATGATACATTTGAAATGCTTACCTCAATATATATAAGCTTATGCTGTTTGACAGAAATTTAGGAAAAGTGAGGTCAAGGTCAAAGGAAAGGTCAAGGTAAAAAATGTTAATGCAGTTGCATGTCTCTTATCAAATATGTATCAACATATGAAGTTTGATAAAAAAAAATATCTAGAAATGATGTCTTTAATTAAAATTGACTTAAACACAATTCGATAAAAGTGAGATCAAAGTCAAGTAATAGGTCAAGGTCAAAATTGTTGATGCAGTTGAATTGCTTACATCAGTATGTATAAACATAAGAAGTTTGACACTGATTTAGGAAAAGTGAGGTTAAGGTAAAACAAAAGGTCAAGGTCAAAAATGTTGATGCAGTCGCATTGCTCTCATCAAAGTGTAACAGTATATTAAGTTTGCTAAAAAAAAATCTTGAATATTATTTTTAAAACTAAGCAAAACCTAATCAAAGATAAGTACCGGTAAATTCAAAGGTCAAAGGAAAGGTCATGGTTCTATATTTATCTAAATTTGTTGAAAATCTAGCAATTTTTAATGATAATAATGCATACATGTAAGGTTTGTGCATCTTCCTGACGTTTTTTTTTTTAAAGTTTAACATAAAATAAACAAATACAAAGGAAGGAAATACAACTTTCCTTTACTACCACCAGCTTGGATCATATTAACTTCACTTGCACATTGTCGTTAGTACATACACGGCATTTAAAACAAGCTTTTTCTGTTTTTCCTAAACAACTAAAGATAGAGAACACATGGAAATTTCAATAAATGGAAGATCCACCCGAAAACATATGAAATTCGCACTTCATGCTTTTTAACAAAAACAGTCATGTATCAGTAATTACACATTCGATTCCATATTTTTTGGCCGTAACATGCAATCATTGAAAAATTAAGTCAAAATTGTGAACAACTAGTTAATTAATGTTAAGGTTTTTAAATACTTAAAATAATAAAACTGGGGACTTAGAAATTTTGACAAGTATACATTCCGTGAAGATAAATGCATTTTTACCACTGCATTTTTACTACTTTTAACTCATAAAATGTATGATGCTGGAAAAACCTTAATACATGTATGTCTTATCACAGATCGTCTTGTAGGACTTTTGCGAGGAGCGCTGACTTTTACAGTCGACGGCCTACTTTTACACCAGGAAAATGAACGGAGTCTCTTTAAGCCCAACACTTAATGCAACAAATTTCGGGTTATTTCAAAGCACAAATAAGTTATGCTTGAAGAAAACGACAACCAGTTTAACCTAAACTCCCAGCCTTTACATGTAAGAGTCCAGCCCTAACACCATATACCTATGAAAAATAAGGTTTTTTTATCTATTATAATTTCTGAACCACTGTACATGATACAGGTTTGGATGTCAAAGTAAAGCGTCAACTGTTATTTTTTAAAGTCAGTGCTTCTCGCAAATTTCTATTAATCATATTTAAGAATCCTCAAATTTTTATCTTATTTCTATTTGATAGTGTCAGAAACACGACTTCATATTAGCTGAGTTGAGTGGATTAACCATTTAGCTCAATTTAGCACTGGACTGGCATGCCTAAGGCCCTGGGTTCAATCCCCAGGAAAAGCACAATATGTCTGTTACATTTTGCTCCCACGTTGGGACACGGGTGTTTCTTATGGGTGAAAGTGACTGTCCCCAGAACTTCGCCCCACAGGTGTTGGCACTCAAAGAGAGATGAGGGCATCTCATTCTCTGGAGGGGGACAATGTTGTAGTGTCAGATAGACGGCTACCTATTAGCTTGACCTGTGGGTTAACCATTTGGCGCATTGAAAGAGCACTATACTGGCATGCCAGAGGTCTCGGGCTCAATGCCCAGCAGAAGCACAAACATTACGAAGCTCACCTCGACGAATGTTATCAGTTTAAGTAATGCAAATCTCACAACATATTTTCTTAATATTTAGTATTCATTTCAACAACAATATTCTTGCAAGTTGTGTTTAACCCCTTACATGGCATATACACATTTCTAAGCCTGTAGCATGAAAAATATGTATATGTATAGAGTAAACAAATATTCATAACTGTTAATACTGCATATATCAAGGTCTTCAAGTTCATTCAGTTTGATCTGTTCCCAAAACTTTAATCAAGTCTCTTGTATAGAAAATGTAGGTCAGATCCAGCATCCAAAGCAAGTCTGATAGTGTCCATCCTTAGATGCATCATCCCTGCAAGTTTGGTTAAGCTAGGGCTTATTGTTACTTGGGAATGAAAATGTAGGTCAGGTCCAGCATCCGAAGCAAGTCTGGTAGTGTCCATCCCTAGATATATCATCCATGCAAGTTTAGTTAAGCTATGGCTTATAGATACTTGGGAATGTAAATATAGGTCAGATCCAGCATCTGAAGCAAGTCTGGTAGTGTCCATCCCTAGATGCATCATCCATGCAAGTTTGGTCCTAATATGGCTTATAGTTACTTGGGAATGAAAATGTAGGTCAGATCAAGCATCTGAAGCAAGTATGGTAGTGTACATCCCTAGATGCATCATCCATGCAAGTTTGGTCCAAATAGGGCTTATAGTTCCTGTGGAATGGACCTGCTCCAAAAACTTTAACCTGGTCACTCATCTGGAAAATGTAGGTCAGATCCAGCATCCGAAGCAAGTTTGGTAGTGTACATCCCTAGATGCATCATCCATGCAAGTTTGGTTCGAGTAGGGCTTATAGTTCCTTGGGAATGGACATGCTCCAAAAACTTTAACCTGGTCACTCATCTGGAAATGCAGGTCAGATCCAGCATCCGAAGCAAGTCTGGTAGTGTACATCCCTAGATGCATTATCCATGCAAGTTTGGTCTGGGTAGGGTTTATAATTCCTTAGGAATGGGCCTGCTCCAAGAACTTTAACCTGCTCCAAAAACTTTAACCTGGTCACTCAACTGGAAAATGTAGGTCAGATCCAGCAACCAAAGTTTTGTGGTGTAATTCCCTAGATGCATCATCCATGCAAGTTTGGTTCAGGTAGGGCTAATAGTTACTTGGGAATGGACTTACTCCTAAAACTTTAACCTGGGACGCCGACGCTAACGCCGACGCCGGGGGTATAGCATAAGCTCATCTCGACTTCGTCGAGGTGAGCTAAAAATGTCCCCGTTACATCTAACTGCAATTGGGCATGACTTTACAGTTGAACAAACTTGAATTACAAGTAGACAGACTATCTGACAGAAAAAGGGACGACAGATAAAATAATACCAGAAAAGCTTATGTAACAAGATTCGTAAACGGGAGAGAATTGTCTTAGCCTGCCATATTTGTTTCTTGTGGCATATACGCCACCAGCTCCTATGCATGTATAAGCTTAAGTTTTATTTAAGTTTCATTGTATTTTGCTTTGTTTTACCTGAACAGAGTCGGACACCTCTCTCATAGACGTTATGGTAGAAATAGGTTGAAAATCGAAAATGTTACAGACTGATATTTGTACATATGACTTGAAGGGCAGACAGACAAGTGTTTAGAAATCAATTATAGTTTATAGTTATTCTGAGCTAACAATAAATTGAAATTTGTCTTCTAAAGTTTTTATTTGCAAAAATTAAATTAAAAAATTTAACAACAAACTTCACGTAAATTATACATAAACAAATGATTATAAAAAAAAATTATCCAAAGATGATGATTAACGTAAATAAAATCTGACGAATTTGATTCTGATTCCCTCCCTTGGTCAGAAATAAATTCAAATAAACATATATCACGATAAAACAACATTAAAAAAACATACATGTATATGAAATTCCATTATCTATTTTGGGCTACATTATAAATGAAATTATATTTGCTTAAAGATGCATCTCCATATAGTAGTAATTGTTGGACTTTGTTCTTCCATGAATTTTCCATGAATTTTAATACATTAAGTATTTCAACACTTTACTTTATACAGATATTCCCCATATACGTGTAAGTAAGGATGTGTGTCAATGAATATAGAGCAGTGTTCGCCAACACACTTCAGAATAACACTTTATATATTCAATAAACTAATAAAAACCTACACTTTTTAGAATAACACTTGTATTCAATAAATTATCAATATTCCCACATACATTGAGATGCACCTTTATTTTCTATGAATGACAAAACGTGGGAACTTATATATCCTTGTATATCAAAGTGACTCGTTGATGTTCAAACTCAAAAAAAAATTAATTTAAGATTTAAGAAGAAGTTTATGTTTGTATGCGTTTGAAACTCATTTTTATATGGTCCATCACTTGTACGCGTCTGCATTAGCCTCTGCAGGTAAATACCCTTCCACAAACATTGAATTTCTAAGATTTGCCACCTTTATGGGTCTGCATGTGATACTTAAAGGCATCCAATCTGTTGAATTCCCTTCCACAAACATTACATTTGTAACGTTTTTCGTCTGTATGTGTCCACATGTGTCTCTTTAAGTTGTCTAATCGGGTGAAAGTTTTGGCACACAAGTCACACGTGTTAACTTTATGACCTGTATGTGTCCTCATGTGAATCTTTAATTTTTTGATGTCGTTAAAAGTCCTGTTACACACATCACATCTAGAGAGATTGTGTGTCTTCGCCTGTTTCTTTAAATGACCCAAATCCGAGATTTCTTTTCCACATACATTACTTTCAAAAGGCCTTTCACCATTGTGTACCCTGATGTGTGTCTGTAAGCTATCGGATCGATTGTATGTCTTCCCACATACATCACATTTAAAAGGATTCTTGCCAGTGTGTATGTTTATGTGTCTCTGTAAGTTATCAAATCGACTGAAGATTTTCTCACATATGTTACACCCATAACGATTTTGGATTGAATGCAGCCTCTTATGTTTCCGTAAAGTATCCGATTGCTTAAATTCCTTTCCACACACAATGCATTCAAAAGGTTTTTCAGCTCTGTGCGTCCTCATATGTCTCTTTAGGTCATAAAACTGCATGTACGCTTTTCCACACAAATCACATGCATAAGGTTTATCACCTGTATGTGACCTCATGTGATACTTTAAAGAAAACGATTTGCTGAATGCCTTTCCACACACATCACATTCAAAAGGTTTTTCACCTGTGTGTATCCTCATATGACGCTTTAAGTAATCCGACTTTTTGTACGCTTTCCCACACAAATCACAGGTAAAAGGTTTTTCTACTGTATGTGTCGTCATGTGATGCCTTAAGCTATACGATCTGCTAAATGGCCTTCCACACACATCACATTCAAAAGGTTTTTCACCTGTATGTGTCCTCATATGACGCTTTAAGTTATCCAATCTGCTGAATGCCTTTCCACATTCATCACACCCAAAAGGTTTTTCACCTGTGTGTGTTTTTACGTGTTTCCTTAAGCCTTTTAATTGTCTGAATGCCTTTCCACATACATCACACTTATGAGGTTCCTCACCTGTGTGAATCCCGGAGTGCATTTTGAATCTACATAAATCATTGAATGACTTTCCATACACATCACCGGCACGTGGCATTTCACCATAATTATGCTTTCTTATATGTACCTCTAAGTGGTCTGATCGATTGAATGTTTTCCCACAGACATCACATATAAAGGTTTTTTGACCTTGACCTTTATGGGTCCCCTTGTGTCTCTGCAAGTTACCTGATTGGTTAAATTTCTTTCCACACACATCACATTCATAAGGCTTTTTATCAGTATGTGTTATTTTATGCCTCTGAAAATTTCGGGAATCCTTGAATACTTTTCCACAGTCATTGCAATGATGAATTTTATCACCCGTGTTGGTCCTTATTTGTTTGTTAAACCCTTCGATGTCTTTGAATAACTTTACATAACATTCCTTAAGTTTACCACCTTTTTGCGTCCTCAGTTGTTTCTGACAATCATCTTTGAATAACTTTACATAACATTCCTTAAGTTTACCACTTTTTTGCGTCCTCAATTGTTTCTGACAATCATCGCAAAGTATTTTACCATCATGTGTCTTCTGATGTCCATTTTTGCTTAACGTTTTTTCACACTTAGCACATGTAAGAAGTGTTTCTCTTGTATCCCTTTTCTTGTTTCTCGGTTTATACCTTAAATTATTCATCACTTTTCCTCTTGTGTAACATTTATCTAGAGCTTCTCGAGAATACCTTCTATTTGGCCTACTTAAATTGCGTGAACTCCTACAGGACTCCTTACACTTGGAATTTCTGACACCTTTAAGTGACAGTGGGTGGTTTGGAAAAACAGAACGTTGAGCGGGAAATTCGTCAGAAACACCATTTTTAAGTGGGTTTTTACCTGTGTGTCTTATCATGTGTTTCTCTAAATCTGACTTGTGCCTGAACATCATCTGGCATACATCACATTTATAGTTTTTATCTCGAGTATGTGTGATCATATGTCTTTTTAAATGACCTGATAGAAACTTACCACACACAGCACACTCACAGCTTCCATTGTTACGTGCTTTTTCTCTTGTGTGGGTTCTCAAATGTACCTTTAAATTGGATTTTGCTCTGAATTTTCTCTGACAAATATCACATTTAAAACGTTTTTCGCCAGTGTGTGTCATCATGTGTCTCCATAATTTTCCTGATAAAGACATTCCACACACATCACATTTATAAGGTTTTTCTTTATCCCAGTTATGCTTCTTCAGATGTTTGAGTAAGTTTTTGAATACCTTTCCACAAACATAACACAAGCCACATCTATAAGATTTACCATCTCCATGTACCCTCCTCATGTGGGTTTGTAAGGGATATGCTTGGTTGAAATTTTTCCTGCAGATGTTACATTGATAGGTACTTCTGTCTGCTTCTAAATCCTTAGTTTGACTGTCATGAGAACAATCCTTGTTTAACTTTTCAGCATCATTCTGAATGGGTTTAAAGGATGAAGAAGTTGTCTTTTCCACCTGTAAAGTTGAACATCATGATAATTCATAAGTTTACATAAGGCCCAAGAATCACTTTTCTGATGGACAGCCATACCCTATCACATCTTTTTTAAGCTTGATAGTATTCTATATATCTGGAAAAATTATAATTTATATCATTATAACCTACTTTTTGACAAATAAACACTTTAGGTGATACAATACAATGACTCAAATCAGTCACCTAAATACAATGATATATGCTTCATGCAAGCCTCCTACTATGTTTCATAGTGAAGTGTGTAAATTCAAAAATAGGTTGCACTGACCTAGGCCTAAAATGAAACTTTGTTTGTTTGCAGTTGCCGACCAACGCACTGAAAATGCACCCGACCCAAATTTTTTTTTTTAGCCATTTTGTAATATTTTTTTTTTTCTCCAATTTTTCAGGATATTAAACATGTTAAAACTGTTTCAGTTTCAATTTTTTGTCTTTATCAATCATTAGTTTATACATGTAATACCAAGAGTGCAGCTTATTCATGTAAAGTAGGCCTATGAACAACCTTATTTTATGTTATCTAACATTTTTAGATCTAGATTTTATTTGACAATTTTCATTTCTTTTTGTATATATGAAGGATAAATATAATATTTTGGTAACACACTCCGCAAAAGATATTTTCCTATAAAAAATACAAGAGGCCCAGGGACCACAGCGCTCACCTGAGCACATCGGGCTTGAATTTATCCCCCCCCCCCCCACTCCGGGCGTTCATCATTTGAACAAATTAGAATCTACACTACCTGAGGATGATTCAAAATATATATATCACTTATCATAGCTTTGAAGTACTTGAAAAGAAGATTTTAAAAGGTTTCCCTATATATCCCTATGTAAAACTTGGGTCGGCCATTTTGGCCCCACCCTAGCCCCGGGGGTCATGATTTGAACAATCTTGAATCTACACTAACTGAGGATGCATGATTCCACATGAGTTTCATCTTTCCTGGCGCAATGGTTCTCGAGAAGAAGATTTTTAAAGATTTTCCTATAAAATCCTATTTAAAACTTGGGTCGTCCGTTTTGGCCCCACCATTGCCCCGGGGGTCATGATTTGAACAAAGAACCTAGTTCACTTGTCGCAAAATTCCGCCCCGTGTCAAAATTGATAATATTCCTCTAAATTGTTCTAAAGAGTGTATATTTTTATGAAATTATCAATAAATACCTGTACAGAGCTTTATTTATGTTTTATATAGCTGTAAAGGTAACATTGTTTACGTTAATGTTGCGATATTTTGAATTGATTTATGCAACGTCATGTTCAAGCATGGGGTATAATATTTCAAAATCTTTCCAGCTAACATGCATTTTTCATTATGTAGGTTCATTAAATTTCTCTCACAAACACAAAATGCAATTTATTGTACTACAAGTGTTAGTGTACCATACTTACTTATTTATTTTTCATTATTAATGGCAAATATTTGAATCAATTCGTTTGTTTGAAATCTTTTTTTAAAATCATATTTATTAGAGAAAATAGTTGTTTATTGGTGGGTTTTCAAATGTTAGTGGACTGATGCCACGAGATTCATGCCGCTAAAAATATTTAAAAGAACTTGAAACAAAAGGGTACAGGAAGTGTTGAGAAAAAAATCACCATCATACTTTAAACAGTTTACTATTTCATCATTAGTTTGATGACCCTACTCGGGTTTTCGCCTTTTTTATGACGTCATTGCTTCTCTATCTTTCGTCCCTCTGCTCATTGCACTTTTTAAAAGATATATCGTCGTGTTATTAAATACTGATTGCTTCTAAGATTTTATCATGAACAGTTGACTTAACAAAATATTGAAGATGGAACTACGCCTAAGGAGAAAGATCCTCATTACATTTTGTCGATCGGTGAATTACAATTTCTTATTTTGCGAGTAAAACTTTTCAACGTAACTGACTTAAGTTTGAAGTTTGGACATCCGGACTGCGAATAAGCTGAAAATTATCTCTCCTCTACCTTAATAATTTATTCTCCCGAGAAAAAAAGAGTTATCTGGACTTATTTTGTCTATCTCTATTTGGCCGCCAATTCTACATGTATGTGATTATATAACACGAAGCACCACCATTGCGTTTTTTTAAATTTGCATTTAAGATTGTTTTACTCTCTGCAGCTGCCAATTAGTTTTCGGTCAGATCTCAAAGAACTGAGATATTGTGAATTTTACGACTCATCAGTAAATGAAATTAATTATTAGAAGACAAATGCTCACATTTAAAAATGTGTTTCCCCTACTATTATAAAAATAGGTCGTTATTTGAGAGGTATTGCTTGGTTATACCAACATGACAAATTCTTATTGAAACATTTTTATAAGATTTATTAAGAATTTGTTCCTGTACAAATCTGTACGAAAAGGGTATCACATATTTTATGTTTTACTGAGTGGACATAAAAATTGATGTTGGACCGCTGAGTGAGATGTTGGACCTGTCGATGAAATGTTAGACGGCTTAAGTCACATTATGGGCGGACCTTAATCTCATTTGCTTTCGTTGGTGATAAACAGTGATGGATATAAAGTTTAAATCACGGAACGCAGTACAAGATACATGTATGAAAAAAAAAAAACAATAAAAGGTATTTAAAAACATTTATTGTCTGTGTCCTCGGGCAAAATGAGTTTTGTTGACCCTCGAACCTAAGTTTGGTTCAAAGGTCGACAGAATGCATGTTGCTCTCGAACTCGGTCAATAAATGTATAATATTTCTCGTACATGTATACAGTAGTTAATCGTTTCGATTCAGCGCATAAGTTTTAAAGACGGTCGTACATGTAATAACCAAACTTTGTAAACGACTAAAAGGATTATGATTTAAGTTGTTATAGAAAATGATTTAGTGTGCATGTAGCTGAAGACCTGTGCTCGCTGGTCTGAAAAAAAAGTGGAATGGACCACGGTCACCATAAAACTACATGGTCAGTTCTGCAGTTAGTGTGCATGTCGGTGTGGCTCGTTAGCTTTTGGCTTGAAGCTTTTCTTATTTTTGTCCCCCGCTTTCGCGAAAGCGAGGGGACATTAAATCTCATTCGTCTGTCCGTCGGTCCGTCAGTCTGTCCGTCCGTCACAAAAACTTTAACCTTGCCCATAACTTTTGATTTAGTGGAGGTATGATTTTCATATTTCATATGTGTATTCCTTGTGATAAGACCTTTCTTTGGGTAAAACCAAATTTGAATCTTTTGACCTTGACCTTGGAGCTTCAACTACTTTTACTAAAAAATTCCAAACTTTTACTTTGGCCATAACTTTTGAATGGTAGGTACTAGGACTTTCATATTTCACATATTTATACTTTGTGACAAGACCTCTCAATGAATACCAACAACTTTGACCTTTTGACCTTGACCTTGGAAATTTACGTACTTATGAAAAAACTATATCCTTGACCATAATTTTTGAACGATAAAAATTTAAAAATTATAACCTTGATCAAAACTTTTGAACGGTAGATACAAAGACTTTTATATTTCACACATGTATTCTTAAAAAACAATACCTTTCATTGGATACCAACAACTTTGACCTTTGGACCTTGACCTTGGAGATTAATGTACTTCTGAAAAAGCTTTAACCTTGACCATAACTTTTAAACGGTAAGGGCTAGGGCTTTCATACTTCACGTATGTAATCCTTGTGAGAAGACCTTTCATTGCATGCCAAGAACTTTGACCCTTTGACCTTGACCTTGGATTTTTAACTACTTTTAAAAAACATTAAGCTTGGTCACAACTTTTGAACGGTAGAAACTAGGACGTTCATATTTTAAATATATGTATTCTTTATGGCAAGACCTTACATGGGATACCAAAAATTTTGACCTATTGACCTTGACCCTAAAAATGATATCTTGCCCACAAAGATACCGAAAGCGGGGGACCATAATTCTTTGAATTTGCTTGTTATTTTTAAAAACAATATTCCAACAGAGAATTCAAAGTAAGTTCATGTTATCATAAAACAAAATTGTAGAGCTATTGTTCTGATATATGCAGAAATATAACCAGAATCTACGTGATACTCGTATGGAACAGACCGAATTTAACCTTAATTACATTTCACAATGTCAAGGTTTTGTGTTAGGCCATAATAAAAATATTTCTAGATTCTCGTCCCCGCCCGCCCCGATTTTACACCCCCGTCTTGATTTTTTTGAGGTCTTCCGTCTTCAGCGGAAGACCTTCTTGTTATTCTTAGGTTTCTTTTCCACTATTTTTAAGGTCTTCTGTCTCCAACGGAAGACCTTCTTGTTATTCTTCGGTTTCTTTTTCCCTATTATTAGGGTCTTCCGTCTCCAACGGAAGACCCTTCTAGTATTCTATTGTTTCTTTTTCACTATTATTATTATTATTTTTTTTCTTCCAAATTTTGTGCAGACGATTTCTCAGAGATGCGTTGACGGATTTCTTTGAAATTTTCAGAGATGATGTATCATGATCTAAACCTGATCCATTTTTTTTTATTTTTGAAAAATCACTTCCGGTCGGAAGTTATCGACCTTTAATCGATTTTTTAGTGACCATTTTGTCGACACAAAAACTCAAAAACGACAAAAGCTAGAATGTTGTCATTTTCAGGACTAATAGATGACATGTTGTAGTTTTGCACCTATACTTTCAAATTTTCGTCAGTGCTTCCGGTCGATACCGGAAGCGAATTTAAAAAAACGCAATTTTTCAACTTTTTTGTTTTCCAATATTTTTCTTTGATATTAGATATCTTAACAGTGACTCTTTCGCGAATGCGAAATATGTAATTTTTTTAGAATCGAAAAAGGCAATCTCGAGATTTTTGTATTTAAAAATTTGAAGCGGTGTTTTCAATGGCCGAATAGTAAGTGCGTTGGATTGTCACGCGGGCGACCCGGGTTCGCTCCCCCGAAT